TGTTGCGTCTTTTTCGCAATACATCTCTTAGGGCCTGTTTTACCAAACAAGGAGTAAGAGTTTACTCTGGAGCAAATCGTGTTTACCCGAGAATAACTTCTTAGAGCGTTTCACCAACACTTTACTCGAGTGTAAATTGCATACACTAGAGTAAATTCGAGAGTAACTTTACACGGCGAATGTCCGGCGGGTAAAGTTCACACTAAACTTAATTTTGAGTTTGCGTCTACCTTCGAAATGTTGTTATGACTCCACGATAGGGAATGATGGTATTTGAAAATGATTCGGAATAGTATCATCTAGTGCGAAGACAAAGATGTGTGCGGTGAGAACGGATTGTTTTCCGATTATAACGATTGAGATTTTGTCAGAGGTTATATTTGACCAAATTAGCGAAAACATTTAGACGATCTGACGGGAGCTAAGAGTGTTTTTGGAAGAATTCAAGCTGATTTGGAAAAGAATAATTTGCATAATACGGAATTAAAAAACCAATACAAGTAGTAGAAAAATTTCATAAACTGTTTTTTTCTGAATTGTAAGTATCTTAAGGTTATAGACAAACAGTTCAGTCCCGATTAAAACATGGACATTAAACATTAGGACATGTCTATTAAAAATGATTTAACTGAAATAACGTATTTTATTTGTGAAGTACTTGTATGTTATTCAGTCATGTATGTTATCATGTTCATCAGATACACTATAAACTGTGGAGGACTATTTAAATGTCTTATTCATCCATGTGGATACGAAATAAAGATAGTAAGTATAGGATAACAAAAGGAAAAATAATAAATTCAAGGACTAAAAGTATAAGAAATAAAGATAACTAAGAAATTAACTACGCTAACTGAAATCACCAAAACACCAAATAACATTTTTGTACGACAATGTTACTTCCACCATGGGTGGAATATGAGGAAATAACAGGAAGTTGGCGTTAGTTCGCATTGGGTCACGGTGGTTTACTGGATCGCTCTGGCTCACGGCCTCTTGAATCGCTCTCTGCTGTGTATGAAAAATTGCCCGTTCAGGTGGTTCGCGGAGTAAATCGGGGAGTATGCACTCTATAGTAAAATAACCTCCCAGAAGAATGGTTAAACGCTTATATTTTACTCAAGTATTACTATCGTAGAGTAATGCTTACACTCTTAACTCTACTCGGTTGTTGGTGAAACCGGCCCTTAACCCTTCTATGGCAATAAGCTCGTATTATTTTTCTAGAGTAATCGCTACGTCTCGTCACGTTGCAGTCAGGCAATGCCTTTTCTTCCTTCGATCAGGGGCTTGACGTCGTTAGTAACCGTGATTCTCAGACGACCACCCAACCAGGAATCCGTGGTGTCAAGAGTTGCTTAACTGCTGTGATTTCATGGACCTGAGTAAAGCAATTCGGCTAACATTATGGGCAATACAAGTCCAAGAACGGTTTCGTTTAAATAGTGCCAGCACATAACAACGTTAGCTTTTCGTAGAGGTGCCCAAAAAGTTGTATGATCTCGAGCAGCTTTGGTAGATACACGGTTATCAGGTCCCATCTGAAAACTTTAGTTATTGCAAAACTACATTTCTCGTATTTTTAGTAATGGATAAGGAATATAATATTGTAATTTCTGCCCATACAGATACTTCAGTTATCACTTGTAAAACTCGATATTAATCACGCAACCTTTCTTGATCGATGACCTTGCTTCCCCTTCTCTGGCACAATAAACAGGTGAAGGTAAAAACTCGTAGCGAGCACTAATGACAACTCTTCAAACACATCTTCAAAAGCGCAAAATAGAAACTATATTGTGTTAAAGAGTACTTCTGTCCGTGATTTTCTCCAAGCAATCTAAAGAAATGACCGTAGCAGGTGAAGATCATTCACAGGAGCTACCTTGAACTCCTGAGAAAATTAAAACGCAAATTATTGAGCAAGGGTGGTGAATAGTTGTGTTGTAGTATTATTGATTTATTGTTAACTTTGTCATGATTTAAATACATGGATAAAGTTGAATAAACTGAATATATGTTAATGAGTTGTTAAAAATTCCTTTTTGTAGTACAACTATCTATAATGCAAAGAATGGGCCAGATAAATAGACACAAGAATATGTTTTAACAGACAATGAAACCATCAGATTATTGAGAAAGTGGCAAAAGGACGACTGATTCTTCAGAGATTGGCATTGTGTCATAAAATCCAATGTCTGATTTCGTAACTCGTAATTCTGCAATCCATTGTCCAAGAAAAGTTGCGCAAGTAATACCAAACACTGCGCATGGTGTACAAACTTGTAATTGCATCGAAATGGAAGCCAGAAAAAGTTGCCAATTCTTACCCACCTACCAAACGAAACAAACTAGTGATGCTGCAACAGCACATACTTTCCCGCGTTATTGGAAACAGCTATATATTATTGAAATATTGTATTTTCTACGCTACTAACACCTCTTATTACCGTCCCTTATTACATATGTGGAGAAATGAGAAAAATTGGAGCGATTTTTCAAACAAAATTAAAAATTGCCTTTATTTCGGTCAAAATTACACGAAAACTACTCACATTTTCGAAAAGTTGAATCTGACCTTATTTCAAGATTTGTCTTTAAGGAACAGATTTCATTTAGGAAAAACCTCTGTCTTCAATATTATAGTTGTAGGAAGCCGCCAAAAACTTTGAATTTCTGTAATTTTCGAAAAATCAGTGATTTTTAACTGCACCATTCTCTTAGAGATACTTCGCACTATCCATAAACAAATATAAATCAAAAATTTTGGAGCCTTTTTTTAATGACCGATGGGCTGTGTGTAAAATACCCCCCAAAATCAAAATATCGATTTCAAATTGCAGGGGCCGTGACATCAGCCAGAATGATAGGGAAATATCAGTTTTGGAGAAAATCGGCTGAACAATTTATGTGCTAGCGTTGTGCACACACGAACAGATAGACTGACGTACATTTTGCCGTCAATCGATATTTCGGTATCAAGGAGGCACAAATCATGGATTCTGTCAATAGCGCGTGTTAGAGGATTTTTTCTATATACAGTAATTGCATCCACTTTTCGTTACCAGGGCCCCAGCAATAAGAGTTTTTGTGTCGAAAATTTTCCTGCGCACAATTTCAATACTTTCTCTTTTACGTTAGTAAGTGTGGGTAAATGATTAAATTACAATTGTTACATTATTTGCAGCACATTATTCAGACGGCACACAAGCTTGACTCAATTACTTCAAAGAAAGATAAACTTTAGAAGGATTATGAACGTGTAGATGAAATAATTTGAATACATAAAAGAATAACGACGTTTATGTTTTAAAAATTATTATTCGAAACCTTTTTTTTTTTTTTAAAAAATGATTTTACACCAAACATATTGTCCAACTTTAACAATCCAAATAAAAGCATCGGCTTCCGCGGTCAGTAGATTAGTATGACATTTACTTCATATATGAGAAAGTTATCCACTTTTTTGACGTAAGTGGGCCACAAAACAAGTGTTTCTTTCTGATGCAACTTTTAGCAATAAGATAGCATGCCTCAAGTCGAAACAGCAGACTGATCGCTTAATAGTGGACACCTTGCAACCTTTCAGAGAGCGAGTACAAATTATTTAATGTGTATCATATACGACTCTGATTATCATATACGTCTGGAATGTGAAACACTCAAATAGCTAAGATTACACACACAACATTAATTGTGCGAAACATCACCATTCTCCGTGCGACCCAGTAACTAAAGAATCAATTTTTCCGTTCTGATTTCTCTTTCCTTTCGCTTCTTCAGCAGCTCCTCTGCACAGCCACCGTATCTCCCGTTCGGATTAAACGAGAACTTCCCGAGAGCGCACCGCATTCCTCATTTTCTATGTTCCGATCTGACGTTTACAATGTTGCGCGTAGTCATTTGTTACGCTCCGACGGTTGCCAGGCATGGCCGACGCACCGGGATAACAGTTGAGTGTGATTGATTGTGACGGCTCACATTGGATCGAGATAGCCGTTGAGCTTGCATTTATTCAGTTGATCAGAGTATTATAGTTCCACAGGGCTCGCATTCTTTCGTTTATTCCTACCCAACCACCGTATAAGATGGTATCCTTGTCCATGTCACTTCTGTTTGATATAACCAGTTAGGAGTTCTATACGCTATGTTAAGACTGGTTCGTGGGCCTACAGTCAAAGCGGCGGGCGAGTTATACAGTGGAACGTGGATGATAAGTAATATTTTAAGAAGAAATGAACATTTTCAAAGATACAAATACTACACACCTTTCTTGCTGATCGATCTTCAATTTGCTATTAGCACCGATCGGTTTAATGTAGAACTCACTTTCAACTGCAGAGAACTACCAGAGCTAATACTAGTTTTTCTTGTGCAACCTGAATGGCGTGGGAAAATTGAGAAATAAGTTGGAAAATCTATGAAGTAGGGTAACGACCACTTCAAGGTCAAAATTAAACAAGAATGGGATGCTGATAGTAAGTGGAACTTATTTTCTTGTGGTGAGGATTAGAACAAAGATAATTTATATCACCTGACTTTAAAGAATAATCTGAAATCATTTTATATTATCATTTCAATAATGAAACATGTAATCCAAATCAGAATTCTTTTGGTCTCTAACACGTTCATGGGGTAAAATACTGGCTAAAAATTACTGAGTCAAGTATGCGATCAGTATAAAAAAAAATTTAATTTTCACGTGGTCACTACCAGAAGAAATTCGGTATTTGGAAAGAAATTAATAAATAGAACAACTTTTAAAAAATGTAATTTCCTGGCATGTGATTAATTAGAAAGAGCTAAATTAATCACTCATTGAGTTTCACATAACGAATTTAAAACTGAAGCCCTGGTGCACTAGTGCTTTTAACGTAGTTATTATTATTATTTTGTTACCACAATCTAAAGAAGGCTCAACTCTAGGATTTTTATTGGAGAATAGTTAAAATGGATTGGTATCAATGTTTTAGATTTATTGTGTACATGAAAAAATATAGTAAATTCATGAAAATAGCTTTATTGAAAGAACTTCAATTGTAATTAAGCTGGAGGCAACACATGCATTTAGCAAACAAGTATCCATTCAAACATTGTTTCACATATGAATAAATACTGAGAACTGGTTTTTGTGCTTCTTTTAAAATTGGCATTAATGATTATAAAATACGGTTTTAAGAAAACTATATTGAGAAAGGGGATATCAATGTCAAATTCGGATCTATCAAAAATTGTTTAAAATTGAAGTCATGTGTTCCTATTAAAATTGGAACGTTAGGAGTGATGATTGTATCTATCTTACAAAAGATAATAATGGAACATGACATCAACTTTGATAAATATTTGCAAAATATTTGCGTAAATAACTGAAATAGTTGATATTAATTATTAATTATCTGCAAAACTGAGTGGCTGTGCAAATTTAAACTTGCATAGTTACTAATAAGATAATGGTGAATATATTAAAAGAAATATATCTAGGTCACAATTAGTGGAGGAAAAATTTGAGTTTAAATGATCTAATGCAAGAAAGAACGTAAGTCTGAGTTAATTCATTTCCTAGAGAATTTGTAGGCAAAAACAAATAAAAATTAGAGTTAGCATTGGATCAAACTTCAGCAATCTAAACAACAGACTTGTGAGAAGTTTTTATTATCAAAATGATGTTACCAACTGGTTTATGGGATGCCTCTGAAATATTAAAATTTGTTTGACAAATATTTTGCTTTTAAAATCAACTTTACAAAATTAAGTTTTTCAGAGTCTCTCAAAGTGGCATAGACTTAATAACGTTTACAACTTTTCAACTGTATGTGAAGTATCTTTCAAATTTCTAAATAATTTAATGATTGTAAAATCTAGAATACAAAATATTTCTTGTGTTAAAATCTCAAAGCAAATGCTACCTGACAATATGTTGGCAATGGCATACTGATTAATATAAAGGGCCTATTGTGTGTTTAAAACGCAGGACCTGAATATTTTTGTCTCTTAGCATTCTCAATGTTGCTGCTGATTGAAGGATGACTTGAGAATTACTTTGTAGTTACTGGTGTTGTTTACTAAAACACACATGAAACATTTCTTCTCCTGGCATTTTCAATGTTGCAGCTGAAGGTTCAAAAGATAATTATGATGAAGCTGAGTGGATTATTGGTTCATGTGTGCAGAGGCAGAGTTCAAATGGTTTTGTTGCCTCCCAGCTTCATCGAGCTGCTGCTAAGTCTTGTGTCTGATTATGAAGACTGCGCCTGGAACATGTAAAAGTTGTAATGGTTAACATCAGTTGTACTGCTATAATAATCTTTAAAAAAAATTACAAATGTTACATGATAACCAGATGTTGGATTGTCACTACGTTTCAAACCTTATTTGAGATTTTCATTAGGTAGTACCAAAATTGTAACTATTATGAGTGTTCCATTAAAACAACTAGTAACACCTAATAATAAAAAACTTGTTTATAAAACAGCAAAGAGAATGAGAGTATAAATGTATATCAAATTGTAAAAATATATAAAACTTTGAAGTAACAAGACAATTATTTTAAAAACAAACACACAATCTTAAAAACAATCAAACAAGAAGGTGGTTATCATCTACAATTACCATAATATTACCATAAACTCTCATGGCTCAGTGAGGATATCGCTTGCCTTTCACCACTGAGGGTTCGATTCCCCTAGAATCCCCGTAGAACCTCATGTGAAATTGGTTATGACAAAACGAGTTTGCCTGCATCGCAGAGGCTAGTCCAACCCATAAGAAGCGTTCTAAATCTTACTCCTATCCTTATTCTTTCCCAATTCTGGGCGATGTGTAGATGACGCAGGGCGCGTGCGAGACGCGAGCGAGACGATACCAGTCGTCGATTCCCTGATTTGACAATGACTGACGTGACAACACAGCGGTCCCTAGAGAACGCTTATTAAGGGAGGATTACTCCAGTGCGTTCAACGCTCCTTAAGGAGTTAGGAATCGCGTTGCGTCGATATAGACGCTACCAAAAAAAGTTATTTTAGTTATAGACGCGTCGATGTAGACCCAACCAAAAGAAATGTCGAAGGTTAGTTTGTAAATAAATGACTTTTTCGCCTTTTATTTGGCAATAAAAACGTTATAGTATTAATAAAAACAATAATAATAATCTCTAGATTGAAATGACAAAGTTACAGGCATAACACCCAATTATTTATTTTATAACACTTTTAATTAAATTCGTAATTTAAGTTCATTTTACCCTAAGACATGCACGTAAATAATATTTCTTTAAAGCCATTATTACTTTTCTTGCATTTTAGAAAACATTAATATTGTACACCGCTTTCATGCGAACATTCTGGCGGAATAAACAAAAAGATATGGGAATAGAACCGCTCTAGCACAAGTTAGCCAACGTTTTGAAATGAATACGAATAATTTGTACGTGTTACTTACCACCCACACTCCCAAATTGGTTAGGTGTTAACAAATCGCTTACACGTATGAACAACCAATGCTGTGTAAAAATGACCCTACGGCTAACGACACACGGTGTTACTAAACGCATGTAGTTGACGTCCGTTGGTTGGCAGGTCACAGGGGCAATATCATCGGCGCGCAACGGACGTAATTTGTACCGTGAAGGTAAACTTACAAACATGGAAGCCATCGACTTGGCGATCGTGTGTTACATTGGAATTGAACTTAAGACAGAATAGAGATGATGGTGGGTACATCCCATTAAGTTCGAGCTGCTTTTGAAAGGATCGTCCTTCAGAAATTACGCAAAGACGGTGAGGATTTTTTAAAATTATTTCCGAATGTCAGAGCCGTCGTTCAGAGAATTTCTCTCAAAATTTCATGATTATATTAAACGGGAAGATTATGTGAGCTATTTCACAGAATACTTGAATATGCACTTAATGTATTAATCTTTCAATGTCAAATATTCTCATTTTGAATGGAAAATCAAAAACATCTCGTTCATCGCATGTATTACGTACGTTGCTTGTGCTCCATGTGTTCTAAGCTAAGGATGCCTAAGTAGTTACAACGTCCGTTAGGAACAACCTAGACTTTCTAGCGGTTAGCGTCCGTCGGCTGCAGTGCGCTAATGTGTCACAGTCCGTATGCGTCACCGCTGCGGCTACGACGGACGCACCTTGAAGTCCGTCATTTGCCGCTCGTGTGTCGCTAGATTTCCCGCCCGACGCGTCGCGACGCGACGGACCTACCGGGGGACAAAGGTGTGGTGTGGTGTGGAGGAGTCTACTGCCAGAGCAGGTTGACGAGGCGGAGCGGCGGCGCGCCGGGCTCGGCGCCCCGCGAGAAGCCCAGCGCCAGCACCAGCGGCATGAAGCCCACGGCGAACACGAAGCGGCACGCGCTCAGCACCTGCTCCACGTCGCGCTGCGCTCGGCGGCCCAGGCAGGGCATCTGCACCCCATGAGGAGGGTTGGAGAAGAAAACAAGATTTACAGAAAAGAATGGAAAGACTTATATAAAAGAAAGATGCTAATTATAACAAAAGAAAGAAAGATAAGATAATAAGAAAAAAGAAAAGATGTTACAGTCCATTTTTAATCAAATACGGTAATTAAAATTAGAATTCATAATATTGAACGTCTAAAAATTTGAATGAGAAACGTATTCTTTTAATTTCTAGTTATTTTCGTTTTGTTTTCACGATGACCTAAGCAATTTATTACATTACTTTTCAAGCATTGTGGGTTCCTTTTATAAGAACTTTAACACCTGAAGAGAAGTCAATTTTTTCGAAACATTGTGTAATGTTATTAATTACTGTTTTAAAATATATTTATATATGCATGCGTAAAGAGATATTCAAACTACTTTAACTAACAGGATATAATGAAAAAACATTCACAGAAATATCGCGTAGAGCTTTCAGCGCCATCTGAAGGCGTAAATGGTCTACTCTGAAGTAGCTTCAGATCAGCAGGCCATTGGTTATATTTTATAAATAAAAACAATAAATGAATATTTCACAAAGAAAAGTTTAAAATTTTACGTAAATTCGATTCCAGATATATTACTTGCGTATGCTCGCCTGTGAATTAGTTTTAAAATGCCCAGCTTAACCTATTTGAGGCTTGAAGTATCGCCTGTTGCAAGCGCGTCATTCACTTCAACGCGGCTCCACACATGCGGCATTCGCCGAATCCCGAGTAGTGGGTTGCTTGCGATTCGCCGACGCCGAACATTCGGTGTTCGCCTTACCCACCGCGTGACACATCAAAGCAAACGAACATTCGCCGAACACATTAGCTGTTCGGGATTGGGCGAGCAGTAGCTCGCTGCTCGGCCAATGCCGAATATGTGGAACCGCCTTTAGACTCCGAATAACTGAAATACCCCAGGTATTCACAGACAGGTGAGTCCAGCCTAAAACAAGAGGGGGAGGGGCAACTGCATTTCTGGACTTCCCTTTTCCACTGAACTTATTTTATTTACATTCGCCATATTTTACTAGTACTTAGATGAATACTACTTACTATAAGGATAATGAAATTATAACTATAATGATACATAGTAATACAATCGATCATTTCATGTTCAACCATTAAGAATGTTTTTTGATTACTGTTTTTTCTCCATATTGCGAAAAAAAATTTCCAAACGCGTCTAGTAAAAAAGAGAAGAAAATCTGCGATTGAACATTTGTACAGAAATAATTCTTTTTTTAGGGACAGCTATGAGGCCCCTTTCAAAATGTTTGGTGGGCCATGGACCCCTCTTCACCCTCCCCCGAGCACACGCCCACGACCACAATCGTGGATTAGGAAAAGGATTCAATCCTATTGACTACATCTCCATCCTGGATCGCACTGAACAATTCACCCTCCTGTTCCGTTCCAGCGACCCGGCTTCACCGTGACCCTCTCCCCTCCACTCAGGCCGCGCCCGATTCCACCATATTCGCTACGATTCCGGCTGCTGTGGACTGATGGAAACCTAAATTATGCATTGTTGCTCCCGGTTGGTTATGTTCCCGGAAAACTTCCAGTATTTTGCTTTTAAAATTACCTTCGCATGGAGTTGCTCTAGGTTGGTTATGTTCTTAGCTTAAACAACGAAATCAGAGTAGAATACAGTACTTGCTTGAAGGGAAATATTTTTGAACACGATAGTTATATATTTACTTTACACAGTAAAGTAAAAATAGTTTAAACAAATAAGTTTATGTAAATTACTTCGTAATTTTGTCTTTAAAAATGGTTCTGCATTATTTAGCCTTACATGTGAAATTGAAGTTTACACGGATTAACAAAATATATAAAGTCCTTTCTGGCTCGTCTTTAAGTGAAGAAAAACCCTATATGATTTTCAGTCCCCCCCCTCAAGAACAAATTCTTCCTTCCAGAATCCCGTGCTTAGAAACAAAATACGTTGAATACGCACGAAAAAACGAGTAACAAGTAACCTTAAGTATTCCTCTAAATATTATTATAGTATTTGGCCTAGAAATTTAATTATTACTTTATTAACGAATAATACTGAAGTTACCAAAGGCAAGTCGGGCAGTCATCATTCGTAATATTGTAGGCTATGTGACTCATTGGCTGGAGTTGATTTACTGCGCATGTCGGACCATGCGTCACAATTTCCTTTCATAGGACTCATATTTCACATGGCCTACAAGCATCTCGCTCGTGCACGCTATAGTCAAGAGGTCAAATTCTGTTTGCCAATCTTTCAGATGCGACGCCGCTAATACACGCTTTCACATATGTGATTGTATTAACGATCGTTCTCAACGTGTTATTTGTCGTAGCAATGCCCGGCCGGCCTGATAAACTGACAATAAACAATGTAGCGTCAACGGTTTCTTAGATTCCAAGAAGTTTAGTCACCTGTCGAATGTTCATAATAAAACAATGTACGATTTTAGAGGATTGCATTTAGAATATTAGTGCGAAGAGGGAAAAACATAAGTATTTTCTACTATAATGAAAGACAAAAAGCTTTCGAAATTTACAAGTCGGCGATACTGTATCACAAATATCTGAACATGAATACTAACTTCACTTTATTTGAACTTGCATGTTTCAAGTTCAATTACGTTTGATGACGCTTTTATTGTATTTTAAACTGCGACTTGATATTTCAATGCAACATCAAAATATATTCGTTTTTGTTCGCAACAAATCGGATTCACAATCAGCTTTCAAGAATCTTATTTGCATACCTTACCTTTCTGTTTGCCTTGCAGTAAACTTTACGAATCCACCTATTCAGCAATGTTCCAAACTTGGAACCGACGCTTAGACAAAGACGGGCAAAAATTCCCCAAAAAGAAGTTTCCTGTGAAACCGTCGAAATGCTTCTCGACCGAAACACAACACGAGCTCACACCACGACGCATCCAAAGACGAGGAGGTAACCTCTTCAGTTCAACTGTTCGGCGTGACGCAACAACGGCCCGGCAGTGCGGCCAACTCATAAATAATAATTCACGACAGGTGCTTTTTTTTGTTGGCGCATGCCGCGCCGGTACTTATCAAGTTCAACTCTTGAAGGCAGTGAGAAATGTGGTATTGCAAGGACGTCTGGAAGACACCGTTTTCAAAGAGAGAAGGAACGAAAAATAAATAAATGAATGTAAAAAAAGACAACCGTCGGAATGGAGAGGTCGTTCCGAGAACGTTTTTCGCGTTCTCTGCGAGAATTTTCTTATGTTCTCGTCGGGTTCTCGGGACACGGTTGAAGGACATTTTTAGCCTGGCTTGCCAACTATCCCCAGAAAGATATCCCTATTTAATGCAAAAGCCATTCGCGCGATAGTACAATGTGAGGATGTTCTTCAGTAATAAAATACGTCGACCTCTCTTAAATCTATTATGTATCCCCATTTGCTATAGTGTGAGTCTATAAGCCATTTCTTCATTCTTGTCAAGGTTTTTAAATTTTAACCAAAACGTTGAAAACGCAGAAAACGTTTTATACTTGTGTTCTTACTGATTCACGTCTGATTTCTTCCTAAACAAGACTTGAATAAGCTATGTAACGATCTAGAATTATTAAATAATTACAAACATTTGGAATAAAAACCAGTTAAATTATATTTCACCGGTAATTGTATGTTAGAAATAGTATACGGTTCACATTCCTGTCTTCGAAACCCAAGGAATGCCTTTATTTCAGTATTACATGTTCCCTTGATTGAGGAAGATGAAAGTATTCATTACGTGTAATTCAATTTTCCAATAAAGTAGTGCAGCAAAGGGTAATCACTCCTCAAAAACTGGCATGCCAATTCTTCATTAGTTTTATCACAATGATGATGAATTTATTAATAATCATAATTTACACAACAAACATTCGTGGAATAGGAACTCGTGGATTAATTTACATAATTATTTCACTAAGTTATTTTAAAAGTATTTAAACTACAGTATGGTGTCCCCCTTTTTAAAAATGTATCAAGAGATCGTTCATAAAAGAGATAATGTAATTTAAATTATGACCTTTTCCAAACAAACCTCTAAAATCAACGAAATGTGAAGAATATAAGAATTAAAATGAAAATCTAAGAAAGTTAATTAAAATGAAAATCTAAGAGTATTTGTAGCCACAATTATTGAGTTTATGACCATGATTTTTATACAGGGTCCATTTTATCATTGTTTCGTTCAGTTTGCATGCGACTCAGAGACACTACTCAACCCATACCGTATAATTCTGCCTGTGCAATTACTGTAACATCGGCATTTCCCAACATCACGTGATGTCATTTATTTACAGAAATATACCAATATTTTTCACACGTACCAGCTGTATATATTTCTTTTTGGGCTAAAGTTCTCCGTAGGTTGTGGTGCTGGTGTGAATGTTTAGTTCGTGCCGAATTCTTTGAGAGCGTGTGGAAGGGTCATCCTTAATGTTGGAGGTTGGGCAGAATGGAGAAGGAATGATTGCGCGTGATTCTTCCGTTGTTTACGAAACTGTCCCGGCTTTTTTTTTGTGGAATTGATTGGAGGGAAGTCACCCAAACAATCGACTTGAAAAGCCGGCCTCTGTACTTGGATTTTTATTTCTTGGCGCGTGATGGCTTCACGATCTTCACGATGCAATATCTCACGGCATTTCACGTCTTTCTCGGACGTGCCGCTAGATGTCGAATGATCGCGAACGTATCGAGCAGTGTTGGTGATTATGTGACATCTAGCGGCATGACCGAGAAAGACGCAAAATGCAGTGAGATACTCCATGGCGAAGACAGGCCCTCACATTCTAAAAAGAAATAGAAACCCATGTTCAGAAAGAAGTCAGTACCAGGCCTCAGTTTCGTGTAGCTGGTTGTGTCCAAAATCTGCCATAGGCTGTTCGGCGACATAGGCCCTCCTGACCTACGATGTTTCGATTTCGCACCCATCACTATATTTGCAATCGCGGCCGAAAAAAAAGGAAACATA